AGCGGCGGCTTTGGCTTTGGCCCTCGCCGCCGGGGAGGCTTGGCCGCCACCGCCGTCGCAGGCCGCGGCATGTACGGCGGATAGGGGGGTGGGCCGCCCGGCCCTCAAAACGGGCCACACACCGCACTGGTTTTCTTTTGGTCCGCTTTTTCGGCGGCGGCGGCGGCCGCCACCCCTGGCGGCCTCCCTGGCGGCGGCGGCCTTGGCTTACCCGGCTTTCCCCGCCTCCCCGGCCTCCTTGGCGGCGGTGGCCACGGCACCCCCTCCGGCGGCCACGGTCACCACCGCGGCGGTGGCAATGGCGGTGGTGGCCGCCGCCGCCGTGGCCGCCGCCTCGGAGCCCGCCACCGCCCTTTTTACGGGCGCGGCCGCCCTTTTTACGGCGGCCGCCGCCTTTGCCGCCGCCGCCGCCGCCGCCGCCGCCGCTTTTATTGCGGCGGCGGCGGGGGCGGCCCCCCTTCCCCCCCCCCCCCCCCCCCGTCCAATCCCCTGCCTCCCTGCCGCCCCTGATGGCCTCCCTCTCGTCGCTAGGGTACGGCGGCATGTACGGCCGCTCGCGCGCCATGGACCGGATGTACTCGCGTTCGTACGGCGGCTACGGCGGTGGCTATGGCGGTGCGCGCGCACAAGCCCAGCGCACAAGCCCCGCCTGCGCCCCGCCGCCTCCTCGAGCTCCGGCGTGCCCCAGGCCAGGCTTCCCCGTTCGTCGCGGGGCCACCCTTTCTCACTCGTGCCGCTCGCCGCTCCTCCCCAGGCTACGGCGGGTACGGAAGGATGGGCGGATACGGCGGGTGCGATGAAGATGCCCGCCACTCCCCCCTTCCCCGGCCTGCTCGCCCTCACAGGCCCGCCCTCCCCTTTGCCCGCCAGGTACGGCCGCGGCGGCTACGGCGGCTACGGCGGCTACGGCGGCTACGGCGGCTACGGCGGCTACGGCGGCTACGGCGGCTACGGCGGCTACGGGATGATGGGTGCGCCCGCCCGCTTCGCTTTCGCTTGCCCGCCCGCCCCGCTTGCTCCTGCCCGCCCCTCGCCACCACCCGCCCGCCCCTTGCCCACGCTCGGCGCCGCCCCCGAGCGCAGGCGGCTACGGGGGCTACGGCTACGGCTGGTAGACCGCATCGCCCTCTTTCCCTCCGGGCGGCGGGCGAGGCGCCCGAAGCCAAGCCGGGGCGCCCCGCCGCCGCCGCAAAGCATGATGCGGCGGGCGACAGCCGAGAGAGAATGGGCATGAGGGATCTTGAGCGCAACTTGGCGCGCATGCTGTGCGGCACTGAACCTAGCTGACTAATCTTCGAGCCGGAACTCTCGATCGTAGTGACGATGTGGGTTGTGCGGGGCTCCCGTGCGGTACTCCTTTGTGCGCGCTGAGCGGCAGTGTGGCCACAGTGCGGCGTGCGATGTAGTGATCACTAGTGTTAGTGTTAATGTTAGATTAACGCGTAGAAGGGTTGGGTTATTACTGGCGTTTTCCCGGTCGAAAGACGAATGAAGGCTGAACCTGAAGAGGGGGCACAGAATACGATCGATGTACGATGACGGCTGTACGACGATGTCGAGATGACTCATCAGTCATCACACCGTGAATGTGTCGAGAATGATTGTAAACGAATGTGTGATTGTAGACTGACACCACACGCGGCGCAGAGAGTGTGACAAAACTGTAGAAGTCTCGCTCTTCGGGGCTGTGTGTGAGGCGAGCCGAGTACCGAGATAAGCCCGCCGTTGGCTAGCCTATTCACCCCCGACGCAACGCTGGGCGAGCCAAGTGACCACTCCCCGTGCCGCCCCTTCGCCACCGCAACTCCGGCGAGCTAGCGCCCCTCGTGAGCGTGTCGGGGCCATCCGTCGCAATAGACGGAAGGGGACGCGGTGCGGCGTTGAAGCGACCAAGGACACCGCCGGCTGCAGCGCTCGTAGCCAGGGGCAGGCCCCGGTACAACACACGCGTGGGCTGACTCGCGCTTCTCGTGAGGGTCCGTGTCGGCCGCTGCCTTGGGCGATGGACACCCAGCTGCGAGCGACCGGGCGCCCAATCCGCCGCCGCGTTGGCGAGGCTCACGCACGGGAGGGGTGCGCTCCCCGGGTACAGAGAGAGAGTGACGCCCCCGTGGCGCCGACGAGGCACCTCGCTCCCCGCGCCGGGGAGCGGTGGCGTCACCTTCGCTACCAGCTCCTCGTTGGTGACTGTGGCTGGGATGGCCACCTCGCTCTCCTTGTCAAGCAGAAAGGCGCTCTCCGTCAGCAGGGCACAGCCAGCTCGGGCGCGTGCCGTCTCGGCTTTGAGGGTGCGCGGGACACACGCGGATGTCAGCTGAGGCAGGCTGGCGCCGGTTGCAAGCTCGTCGTCGCCCGACTCGCCGACACCAAAGGAATCGTCGGCGTGGCGATCCCACGCGACTGGCCGCTTGCTCACAGTGATAAGGAGAGCCTGGAGCGGATCGTAGACCAGCGCGGTGGGGCGCTCTGGCGCACCGTGAAGATGAGTTATGCATTGCACGGGGATGAGCATCCCCAAGTCCCAAGTGCGTATGGTGCCTTGCGTGTCGAGCGAAATCAGCAAATCTGGCTCGTGGAGAGGGGCACTGCCCCCGCTCTTCCTCGCTGGGGCCAGGCAGAGGTGAGTCACAGACGTGTGATGGCCGATGAGGCAACCAACGAGCTCGCCATTCTCGAGACTCCACACGTTTACGCTGCGCTCGAGCCCACCAGAAGCGCACCGCAGCCGGCCCGGGGCAAGCGACGTGACCAAGAACGTGCGCACTCCCTTGCCTGCAGCAGAGCGCAACGTATACGTCGGGCGGTGGCGAGCGACGGGATCCTTGTTCCCTGGTAGCTCGACAGGTGTCACGCGGATGGTCCCGTCGAGCGAAGAAGAGAGAAGCGACTGCACAGAGGCCGGAGCCCACTCGATCTGGGTTATCCAATCGCTGTGAAGGCTGGACAGCGTACAAATCTTGGCGGGGTTCGTCAAGGATTGAGTGAGCGGCGTCGGGTCTCTGCCACGCAAAAGAGCCTCGGCTGCCTCGGTGCGCAGCAGCGCGGCGAGGTGGGTCGCGTCAAAGATGTGCACCTACATTACATGCAGAAGGTGCGTCGTCGGCGAGGGCTCGGCTGCGGCCTCAACCGAGGGGCAGCGGCCGCGCCACGCCAGCGACATCGCCGATTGCGAGGCAGAGCTGGCCGCCCGAGAGGCTCCAGCCGTGCAAGGCGATCGGGATGGCTGGGCAGAGCATTCGACCGTGCAAGCCACAGCGGTCGTCGTCCAGCAGGTCAAAGTAGGAGACGTGGCAGTCGGAGCTCGCGACCGCCACCTTGCCAAGGGGCTGAGGGAGAAGCACTGTCGCATTCACCTCGAAGCCGCGGCTGCAGACTCTCAACGTTGCCACGTGCTCGAGAGTCGGGGCGCGCCAAACTCTCAACGTCCCATCATTGGAAGCGGTCAAGTACGCAGGGAGGCGTGGGAAGAGCATCATGCAGCCAGCAGCGTCGCGGTGCCTGGGGCACGGGGTAAGGCGATGCGTTTTCGCGAGCATTTTTAGTACCTCGTGTGACAGGAACGCGCATGCTACATGCAGCGAACTAGTGCAGAGTTCCACGATTGCGGGCGTAGGCCCGCGTCGCGAGGCATCTCTCTCTCTCTCTCTCTCTCTCTCTCTCTCTCTCTCTCTCTCTCTCTCTCCCTCCCTCCCTCCCTCCCTCCCTCCCTCCCTCCCCCCCCCCCCCCCCTCTCCGCGATACCTGCTGCGTGGGTTGTGAATCGCCACTGCCTCCTGCTTCATAAACGCATTGCTGCGCTTGTCCCGTGGCGATGATGCAAACGTTGCCTCTCCAAAGGCGCTGTCTGTCTGGCCGGTCGCTGCATGTAGCTCATCTTCCATAGCGCTGGGCAACATCTGTGTTTGGATGAAGCGCCGAAAAAATGGAAAAACGCGCTGCCGCCGAAGGCGCGGGCGCTCGCTTCCGATGTCCGCAGCCCATATGGCGAAACAGAAAAACGCCGAAACTCGACGTTTTCTTTCTGTTTCTTATCAACCTGTGAATGGGAGGTATGATCCATTACAAGGCTATCGGGCAGGTAAACTATGGACTCACAAAGAGAGTGACTGCAGACTGGACAAGAAAGTGAAAGAGATCCAGAGAGATTCCCCACAGATCGCGAAAAACCGAAAACGAAACAAAAAATCAAAATTTCTAGTTGTAGTTTCCGCGAGCCTGCTCGGCGGCGGCCCTCCTACAGAAACTCTCGCAAGCCAGTGCGCGAGTGCACGTCGGCGACCGCCGCGCCTCATCCTACTCGCGCCCCTCGCGCCACCCTCCGCCGCCCTCGGCCGTCGGGTCCTCTCTCTCTCTCTCTCTCTCTCTCTCTCTCTCTCTCTCGCCCCCTGCACGCTGTACGTAGTGGGGCCGCGTAGCAAGGCGCGAGGTGCGTCACTCGCCGCGCGTGCAGCCTCCGCCCTCCGTGGCTCTCCTCGCGCCTCTCCCCCGCGCAGGGGATCTCCACGCCGCCCTCCGCCCTCACAGCTTGAGGCTGAGCATCCCCTCGAGCTGGCCGAGCTCGCTGACGGTCTCCTTCTTGCTGTCGACCTTGCCCTGCTGGTCCTGCAGAGAGAGCAGTGCGGTTGGAGCGAGTGGACGGACGAGAGAGGGGTGGGGTGGGGCGCGGGGGGAAAGCAGGGCCAGAGAGAGAGAGGGAGAGAGCACGGGGAAGGGGGGAGGGGAGGGGGGGGAGAGGAGAGGCGCGTGCGGCTCACCTCGTTGAGCGTCTCGCCGCCCTTGACGCGCTCCTCCAGCTCCTCGATCTGCCGCACCTGTGCACATGCACAAGCAACTCGTCCACTCCCCCCTCACAGCTGTCGCCTCCTCCGCCTGCCCGCACCTTCTTCTTGAGCGCCTTGATCTTCTTGCCGACGTCGACGTCGCCGACCGCCTCCCACTTGGCGATCTCGGCAACCATCCGCTCCTTGGACGCCACCTTCGCCGTCTGGCACCAGCGCGTGGCGGCGGTGAGGCTGGCGGTGGCGGCAGATGAGGCTAGTGGCGGCGGCGACAGTGAGGTTTGGTGGCGGCGGGAATGCTGGCGGCGGCGGCGGCGGATGAGGAACCACGCGTGTGCGGCCGTGGGAGTGCGTGCGCCACGTGCGGCTCTCGGGCGGCGAGCCTGGTCCGCTCCGATCTCTATCTCGACTCCATCTCGGGCTGATCTCGGATTGCGCTAAGCCTGGTCCGGGTTGAGCGCTGCGCCGTTCGCCTTTCGCTCCTCGAGCTCCTCGACCTGCCGCAGCCGTTTGCGCAGCGCCTTGAGTTTCCGCTCGACTTCGCTCGCCTCGCCCCCACCCTCGGTATCGCCCGCACCGCCCGCACCGGCGGCGGGCGTCTCCCCGGCAGCCCCTACTGCTGGCGCTGTGGCTCCGCGCCCGGCAGTCGGCGTCGCATCGCGCTCGCCCCCCTCCTCGTGCAGGAGCGCGTCCACCTCCTTCTTTTTTCGCGCCGCCTCGTTTCTCCGCTTGTTCTTCGCCGCCGTTTTGCTCAGCGGCTTGGCCGCCGCGCCATACTCCATGCCCGGGATGCCTGCGGGCTGCGACTCGTCCTTCCACTGGTCGGAGTACTTGGCCTGCTCCTCCGGCGGCACATATCCCTCCCGCACGCGCACCGCTGGTCTCAGGGTGCCGTCCGGCCGCCTGCTTCGCACCTCGGTGGTCATCGTGCTCACGGGGCACCGGGAGGGCGCACTCTCCGCCGCGGCCGTGTGAAAATAACAAGGCTGTGAACGGGTACCGGGTAGTCTCCCCCCATACAGGAGTGGCGCCGAACGCACTGGCGACCTTGGAGTGCGCCGTGGTCGAGAGAAGCGAAGCCATTCGCTCGGGCATAATACACTGTGTTCAGCGAGGTCCCATGTCGCATGCCCTGCATGCCAGCGTCGACCGTGTGCGAGTCTCGCTCGGCGAACCCCGTTATTATTCATGCAAGAGGGCGTGGGTCTGTGGGCTTGCGGCGCCCTGCTCAACCCCAAATTGCCTTGCAATTTGGATACAAGCTGTATGGCAGCCTCCCCGTGTCTGCAGCCTGGCGTTTGTGCCCCGTTTGTGCCGCGTCCCGTGCCCCCGAGTTCATTTTAAGTCTATGGCAGCCAGCTCCGCAGCCGAGGCGCTAGGCCGTGCGTGGGATGCGAACACGGTCAGGGTGCTGCTCAATCAGTACCAGGCGGAGCATATTGCTGGTGTCCGCCGTGCGAGGCGCCGTTCCACTGCGCCGCCGGTCTGGCGGCGGTTTCCTATTTGCAATTATTGCACGCCGCGCCGTCGTCGGTCGGGCGATTTTATCGGCAGCAACTTATCTCTGGGGGCGCGCGCGGGCCCTAGAGGGTATCCATGCGGGGGGGAGAAGGGGTCCGATGGCCCGCCGCAGGCGCCGATTTTTTCGGGTTTCCCCCCATTTTTACTGTATTCCTGGGAATTCGGCGTACTTGCGGCCATGCTACAACTGTATCACGCCTTGCGACAGCCTGTCGGCGCTGCTGACCGTGCCCTGCTGGCCCTGCTCAACTGACCGCCTGCATAGCTCGCGGCCTTAGTATCAAGCATTCAGTGACGACCTGATCGTACGGCCAGTAGGAAGGTGTCCTTCCAACGTGTGTGCACGCTTCTGTGCATTCTGACGCTATGCGCGTCACAAACTACCTCAGATTGGCCGCTGGCACTCTCGAGGCTATGCCTACGCAGCCTCGCGCGCATGGGCAGTCAAGAGGGACCACGCACCTTCTCAGGACAGCGCCAGTGCCTCTCTCTTGGACCGGCAAACGTGGTGGTCTCGTGTCACCAATGTGGGACCAGTGCGGCATCGCGCCATCGACAGCTCTGAACTGCGCCTCACCACTGACCGGGAAGGCCGCCAAGTGGGCCAGCACAGGTCGCACATGTGGCAGCAGTCAGCAGTGCATGGCTGATAGCTAGAGCAGCAGCGTCAGGGTCGCAGGGTCGGATCGTGTCAAGCCTCTCGCCCGGCCGGCCGCGTGCAGACGATCGTCGGCCTGTCTGCTGTCTGGAGTGATCTGTCGGGGCCGAACGCACGCTAAAGGCTACACGCTCGCACACCACTTGCAGAGTGGCTCTCCCAGGCGCTCACCCCACGGCGGAGGCACGCCAGGCCCCGGGCAGCCGGCCGTCCCTCGCCGTAGGCGGCTCTAAGCGCCTAAGCATATGTTACCTGCCAAGTGAGCATTCAAGCGACGTAGGAGATTATTCGAGATTTGAAACGTCCGATTTCACTTTTCAGCGGAGAGGTGCCAGACCTGATTTTAGAATCGCTCAAGCGCCTAAGCGGCCTAAGCGGGGAGTGCTTAGGATGCTTAGGCGCTTATGCGGCCCTTGTGCAAGCGTGGCGGCGTCGTGAACTAATACAAGTTACTCCGATGACCTCACGATGCCCCTGCTAGTGTCATCGCTCAGAGAGAAGCCTCACGCACGTCCACTGTCTACCACTGGCCCTGGTCGCACACTGCCACGGAGCTGCGCTGGTGCGCGGAAACTCAGCATCAGGTCGGAGAGTCGAGGAAGGTCGCGGAAGGTCGAGTTTAGGAAGAGAACACGATCAGGGGCGGGTCCGGTAGACCGGTCCGCTGCGCCATATACGTGGCAAAGAACGCAAAGTGCCCACTAAGCTTCTGCGCCTTGACTTCAGGTTGAGCACAGTGATGATGCCCACAGCACCAGCAGCAAATGCGGGTTGGCCGACCCCGCGGCCATCGCCGCCGCCGCCGCCGCCCCCTCCGCCGCCGCCGCCGCCTCTGCCACCGTCGCCACCTTGGGCTGCATCACCCGTGCCGCCGTCGCGCACCGGCTCTCGTGCTCATTCAACGGCGCCTCGAGTTGCAGGCCGGCGGCGCTGGCGTTGTCGTGGTCGGGCTGCCCAACGTCGGCGCGGGAGGGAGGGGGCAAAGCCGTTATGAAGAGCGCGAGAGCGAGCGCCGAGAGGGCCCAGATTCTTAGCAGCAGCCCGCCTGGTCATGCGGCTCACTTGCCGACGTGCGTCCAGCATTCCCAGCCAGGACGAACGCCGAAGTTTGCTCTCCGACGCCGTGCCGAGCGAAACCTTTTCCTTCGAAGCCCGGCGTAGCCGGGCGAGCAGAATAGGGCAGCCCTAAAGAGCACCTTGAGGCCGTTCAATAGAGCCCGTGTTATAGTCGAGGTCGATCGCCGGCCGGCGCAGTGCTGCTCTGACCGCTCCGCCGGGCCGCCGCCGGGCCGCCGCCACGGAGACGTGCACATATAGGCAAGTTGGCATTTTCATATTGAACTTCAAAATAACATTGGCTAATCTAATCCTACTCATCACAACTCGCCAGGAACACCCCCACACTATAGGGTCATTATGTAGCCCTGCTTAGAAGGGAAAGGTTTACTGCAAGGTCCGTATGTGGCTCACCGTGTAGTAGTCAGCCGGTCAGTGTTACGACCGATCAGGTTGGAGGTTGGTCTGATGAGTTGGAGGGTCTATCTGTGTGTACTCCTCGAGATCTCTCCGAATCTGCCCTCTATTAAACCGTATTTAATCGGGAAGTTGGTGCTGGTAGAGACTAGTAGAGCCGGAGCCCCGTTCCGCACTGCTGCGCGGCGCACGGACCACGGTGCCTCCGGGGGCCCCCACGCCCCCCCAGAGCAACTTATTGGCGCGGTTTTCGCGATGTCTCTCAAAGCTCTGGGTCGCAATGCCAATGGGCGATCCCAGGCGGGAGCAGAGGCCAGTGGCCTCGATTGCGTCTGATACTGGCGGCTCGGCCCCAACAGACCGAGAGATAAAATCGCTCGGCCGCCCCCAAGCACGGCTGTACTACACGATTCGAATTTCGATCATTCGTACATCCCCCCACTTGAGCGAGGTTCGGCTCTCTCGCCTCTTGAGCGGGGCTGTGCTGCGTCGGAGCGAGGTTCGGCTCTCTCGCCTCTCGGCGGGCGGTAGCCATAACAGAATTTGAAACGGTGGCATACCACGCCTCACTCGTCATGGCGGGGAGCCGGGCACCCGGCAGAACTGCGAGTACGCGCGCCAGTCGCAGTCGGGGTCCATCGTCCACCCCGCCTCGCGCAGCTGCCGGCCCACCGCCTCCTTGTACTCGTCCCTGGTCGGGTTCCGCAGCTCGGCAGGAATGCGGGGCCACCCCATCATGGCATTCGCCGTGTCCATAAAGGCGTCCAGCTCGGCGGTTCTGCCAACGAGGTCGATTCGCGAGAGCTGCTCCGCTGCCGCCGCGCTGTGCGGGCACCACGTCCGCTTCCGAGGCGGGTGTGTCCCCTTCATGAGATAGGTCGTCTGCGGGTCCTGCGTCAGATTGGCCACGGGCTTCCCCTGGCCCTGCGCGTAGCTGGTCAGCAACGCACGCGCCGCCTCATCGGCGTCGGTGGGCGCGAGTCCGCTCCGCTTCACCTCTGCGGCATTCTTGCCTTCCATCCAGCCACGCAGGCTGTACGACAGGCGCGACGTGACATAGTCAGTCGGGTGACGCAGCACTGTTGCCGTGCGCACGTCGCACGATCGCGAGGCGAGACTCTCGCGCAGCGGCGCGAGCAAGCCGTCGACGATCCATTCGCCAAAGCCGGCGCTGCTGTGGTGCTGAACGACAATCACGCGTGGCGACGGGTGGTCTCTCAGGATGGTAGCCACGGCCTCCCACTGCGATGCGATGCGCTCGATGCAACAAAACGCGCCGCAGTCGCGCGCCTCGCACACCGATGGCGCGTCGGCGGCGGCGGCCGAGCTGTTCCAGTCGCTCCAGCGCCGAAGGTGGTCGGCGGAGTATAGGTGGAGGAAGGTTGCGTTCGAGCGCACAGCCATCTCGCGGAAGTGGCTCGTGACAGTTGTGCCACCCGTCTTCCCGATGTGAAGGAACCAGAGCAGCCCGCACTGGAATGGCTCCGGCACGCCTGCAGGGAGGGTGGCCGCATACTCGCCTCCCTCAGAGCAGGCGCGGTGAGGCGGCGAGAGAGTGGCGCGCGGCACCAGTTCCGAGGCCTGTCCACACTGGACAATCGTCGGTAGGCGTGAGCGATCGCGGCGAGACTGCAGTCGACGCGAGCGCAGCGAGGGGGGCGATGGGCATATACACAATATGCACATAGGTGTCGTTTGGGGAAACTCGTACGTTTGTTTGCTGCGCGCCGTTTGCCGCGGAGAGTTCTTTCTTTAGCGGTGTTACTGTTTTAGGTGTACTGTTCGTGCCCGTGCGCGTCAGTCCCGTGCCTCGTGTCGTGAGAGTTCCGTTCTTTTGAACCTTTTTCTTAAAACTCTTTTGCCAGTCTCGAGAGACCAGTCTCGTGCCGCGTAAAATAAAGAAAGAAAATCCTCCCCGGTAAAAATTCTTTTTGGCTCAGCAGCCTGGGTTCCAACTTTTTCCGGGGCATGGTATGGTACTCTCGGCGGCCCAAAGGGGGGGGGGGGATGGTCCTGACCGCCCAAGGCTAGCCCTACCATACCCCAAGCAGGGCTTCCACGACACGTTAGGTTCGCCGACCAGCTCCGCGCGACCGCCGCGAGCGGCGGGTCGCCGCTGCGGCCCGAGCAGGGGTTATTTTGCGAGGTGGAGGCCGACCTCTCAAGCAAGCTCGAGAGGCTTCAGATACCGGGGCTATCCGCAATAGATGTATTACGCCCTTTCTCCTCAACGGCTATCCCTGCTTCCCTACAGGGATTTCAACTTTTTCCGGGGCATGGTATGGTACTCTCGGCGGCCCAAAGGGGGGGGGGGGATGGTCCTGACCGCCCAAGGCTAGCCCTACCATACCCCAAGCAGGGCTTCCACGACACGTTAGGTTCGCCGACCAGCTCCGCGCGACCGCCGCGAGCGGCGGGTCGCCGCTGCGGCCCGAGCAGGGGTTATTTTGCGAGGTGGAGGCCGACCTCTCAAGCAAGCTCGAGAGGCTTCAGATACCGGGGCTATCCGCAATAGATGTATTACGCCCTTTCTCCTCAACGGCTATCCCTGCTTCCCTACAGGGATTTCTTTTGCAGGTGCTGCGCCCTGAGTGGTCCCCGGTTTGGACGGCGACCCGTTTACAGTAGGGGGAGGGCTCCCAGGGCTTCGAGGTTTTTCAGCCGTTTTTATCGTGCGCTGCTCACTCACTATACACTGAGTGGAGAGAGAGTACACCACACACAAACACTACTCCCCAACACGCGGCTAGCCAGGCCTGCCTGCAGATGCCTGCTACACGATGACGACGTTCTCACTCAGGGTTCTGTCTGCGTGCTATTGCTGCCTCCCGCTTGGAGTCGGCAGTAAAGCAAGTGGGTGGAAGCGGGGGCGACAGGGACGGCGGCGGCGGCATCAGGGTCGGCGATGCCGAGGTGTGTGCCCATGTTTGTGCGTGGGGGGCGTTGCACGCCGCGGATCAGGCCGGGCGGTGGGGAGGAATCGGACGGCGACGGCGGCGGCAGGGACAGGGGCAGTGGCGGTGCCCAGGGATGGTGGCGACCGCCGCGAGCGGGATGCAGCCGGCGAGGCGAGGTGGCAGGTGGGCGCGACCGTTGCGCGCTGCTCGAGTGCGCACGACAAAGCAGCTCTGGATGCAGCCATGGTGACCTGCGTGCGCGGGGACGGCAAGGGTCGCGCCGCAGCCCGTGCTCACCGGGGGCTCAGTCTCGATGGGGAGTGGGGGGGGGAGAGAGAGCAGCCAGGCCCGCGTACCGGCAATGCGAGACGACATTGACAGTTGGAGCCGCCCGCGGCTTGCAGAGCGATTGAAAGTTGTCGGGCTACGTGCGCATGTCGCGGGCGACGCCCGTCCGCAGCAGACACGTCGTGGTGACGATGATGGCGAGGAGCATCACGGTGGAGAGGAGCGTCCCGGCGCTGCTTGGGCTCGCTCGAGTTTCCGGTCTGGGCGCGGCGCGGCACGGGTTTTTTCATCTATCAGGGCTTCCGAGGTGAACCTCGAAGAATAAATCTTTCTTGGTGAAGGAGACGGTTCTGCCCCGCTGTCTTCAGTGTCGGTTCTGCGCCGACTCCCACACGCATGCCGCTGCTGCAGCTCCTCAACTACATCGACGGCCGGCCTGTGGCGAGCAGGTCAACGGCACGGACAGAGGTCGTCGATCCTGCCACGGGCGAGGCCTATGCATCCGCACCCGACTCGGGAGAGGCCGATGTCGACGCCGCGATGACGGCTGCCCTGGCCGCCTTCAACTCCTTCAAGCGCACGACGCCCTCGCAGCGTCAAGGGTTCCTCCTCAAGATCGCGAGCGCCATCGAGGCGCACGCCGACGAGCTCGCAAGGCTGGAGTGCAAGAACTGCGGCAAGCCCTTCCTGCTCACGCTAGACGAGGAGATCGCCGCCGCCGTCGATCAGATCCGCTTCTTCGCCGGCGCGGCGCGCCAGCTCGAGGGCAGGGCTGCGGGCGAGTACATGGAGGGACTGCTCTCGATGATTGTGCGAGAGCCGGTCGGCGTCTGTGCCGCCGTGACGCCGTGGAACTACCCGCTGATGATGGCGGTGTGGAAGTGGGCGCCGGCGCTGGCGGCGGGCAACACGGTCGTGCTCAAGCCGTCCGACACGACGCCCGTCTCGACGCTGCGGATGGCCGAGCTGATGGGAGCCATCCTGCCGAGTGGCGTCTTCAACGTCGTCTGCGGGCGGCGCGAGACAGGCAGGCTGCTGGTCGAGCACGCCGTCCCGTCCCTCGTCTCGATCACCGGCTCAGTGCGCGCGGGGCGTGAGGTTGCGGCGAGCGCGGTGCCGCCGCCGCTCAAGCGCGGGTGCACCTCTCGCCACGACACGTCCCCGACACGTCCACGATGCGTTCCGCAGGCGCCGCTCCTCAAGCGAGTTCACCTCGAGCTCGGCGGCAAGGTGTGCTATGCTCCACAGATCCCTCCGCCACGCCCTCCTCGACCCTCCCGGCCCTCCTCCTCGCCCTCCTCCCTTCGATGACTGCCGGCGCCGGGCTGGCAGGCGCCCGTCGTCGTCTTTGCCGACGCCGACCTCGAGACCGCCGCGGCCGACATCGCCGTCGCCGCCTACTTCAACGCGGGGCAGGACTGCACCGCGGCGACGCGAGTCGTGGTCGAGGCGGCGGCGTATGAGACGATGGTGGCCCTCCTCGCGCGGGAGGCGGAGCAGAACACCAAGCTCGGCTCCGCGACGACGATGGACTCTGAGGGCGTGCTGGTCGGGCCTCTCAACAGCAGGGCTCTCGGCTGCGCGCAGCTCGCCGGCCCAGTCTCTCTCGCCCGCCCGCACGAGGGGCATGTTCTGGTGTGGCTAGGCGCAGCTCGAGCGAGTCAAGGGCTTCTTCGACCGGCTGCCGCCCCACGCGCGCGTCGTCGCGGGCGGCCGGCCCGCCGGCGGCAGGGGCTTCTTCTTCGAGCCGAGCGTGGTCGCCGGCTTGCGGCAGGAGGACGAGATGGTGCAGGAGGAAATCTTCGGGCCCGTCATCACCGTGCAGCCCTTCGCCGACGAGGCGGCCGCGGTTGCGATGGCGAACGGCGTGCAGTACGGGCTCGCGTCTTCGGTGTGGACGAACGACCACGCGCGCGCGCTGCGCTGCTGCCGCGCCTTCGACTTCGGGACGGTGTGGGTCAACACTCACATCCCGCTCGTCGCTGAGATGCCGCATGGCGGGTTCAAGCAGAGCGGCGGCGGCAAGGACTTGAGCGCGTACGGTTTCGAGGAGTACACGCGGGTGAAGCACGTCATGTCCAAACTGTGAGGCCTCGGTGAGCCTTTTTGTGGGGGCGCTCGGAGCTCTCTCTCACCACACCGAGTATTTGGAAAATTTTATGAGATTAAAAGTGCCTTTCTCTCTCCACGAAAGGATACGAGGCCGCCGCAAAATTAGAGAAGTGTTTAGGTCCCGTCCATGAGCCATGTGTCGATACCAGTGTGCAGCGGGTTCGGGGTTGACGTCCGAGAGACTGAAGCGAATGAAAAAAACACATCACGAGACGACAATCGACATTGGGAGACCTGAATCCCGACGGCTATATCACCTCGACGGCGATGACGATGACTGCTGCCAGCGTGAGGGTGGAGAGCACGTACTGCAACACGTAGAGCTGCGAGAGCTGCTGCGCGAGAGCTGTCTGACCGGCGGCCACCAGCACCGCGATGGCGGTCTGTGCGGACGGCACCGCGGACTGTACGTACAGCACCATTAGGGCGGCTGGCTCGTCGGGCAGCAAGCCGTCTCGCGCGGCAAGCGAGACGAGCGGGATCGAAACCGCGGGCAGCACGAGCAGCTTCACCAGCACGCTCGCGGCAATCATCCTCCGCGCGCTACTGTCAAGCGCTGCCCCGACGTCACCAACTCCACTTCCGCCTACCCCGTCGCCGTTGCCTCCGCCGCCTCCACCGCCACCTTCGCCGCCACCACCGCCGCCACCTTCGCCGCCTTCGCCGCCACCTCCGCCGCCACCTTCGCCGCCTTCGCCGCCATCGCCGAGCACGCTGGTCGCGCCCCGCATCAACGGGAAGGGCTGGGCTCGAGTCGTACAAGCGCCGCTGCCCGCCTCGCCCGCCGCTGCTTGCACCGCACGCACGCCCCCTCTCCGCCGCCGAGCAGCGAAGAGGCCAGTGGCGGAGAGGGGCAGCCCGCAGGGCAGGCGAGCCGCCCTCCTCCTCCTCCTGAGCAAAGTGTGCAGCAGTGCGCTCAGCGGCTGCTGCAGCGACGCTCCCAGGACGACGATCGACAGGGTCACGGCCGCAGCGCCAAGCGAGTCCCACGCACCCGCGAGCCATCGCAGCGCGCCGCCGTCGGAGAGCACGGACCGCAGCGGTGGGATGCAGCCGAGGCCGACGGCGACGGCCGTGCAGACGGTGTTTCGGTCGACGAGGTCTCGCCCGCACCAGAGCAGAGCCTTGCGCCACCGGCCGGGCGGGAAGCGGGCGCCAGCCGGCTCGCTCGCGGGCGGGGTCGGGGCGGCCGCCGTCCGCGCGTCATCGCGGGCAGCCTCTGCCGCGCCCTGCAGGTAGCGCTGGCCGAAGCCAAAGAAGAGGAGGCACCAGGCGCCGAGGTAGAGCCCGATGACGCCCTGCGCGGTCTCCAGCGCGTCCGGGTCGTCGCGGGTGACCGACCAGTTCCGAACGACCGGGACGGCGAGCACAAAGGGCAGCGCGGCGCAGTTGCCAAAGGCGCTCGAGACGACCGTCAGCTGGCGGTGCGGTGCGCGGAGCCGCATTGCAGACGCGGCCAGCCAGCCGAGGGCGGCACCGCCGACCACGTGCAGCACCGCGACGAGGAGGACGGGGCTCCAGCGCGCGAGCCGGTCGGCGTCGAAGCTGCGGAAGAGCGAGAGCATGAGGCACGGGTAGAGAAGCCGCAGCATGAAGCGGCTCACGCGGCGGAGCGTGTATCCATCCAGGTGGCCGTAGGCCATGGCGGCGCACCCGATGGCGCAGATGACTGCCACCTCGCCCAGGCTGACGGCAGCCACCTCGAGAGCCTCGAGGAAGAGAGAGGGCGCGCCCATCTCTGGAGCTCTGAATTGTGTGCGGCGCGCGGAGGGTAGCGGCAGGAGAGAGGGCGGCAGTAAAAGGGAGGGAGCGAGCGCGCGAGCGAGCGCACGATCGTGTTTCACGCCTTCGTTCAGGTGCGGAAATTCTTTTTCGAGTGCGGCGTTGTGTTCTTGTTGGTATGCGCTTTCTCTTTTTCGGTGTTAGTGCGAGTGCGCGCCAAGAAAGAAAGAAAGAAAACAGACAACCCAAGGGAGGGATGGGAGGACGGCACGCCGCCACCACACAGGGATTTTAAGGAGAGGTGTGTGGTGCGCTATCCGTCGCCCACCCTAGGGAGTCTGCCTCTTCCTATCTCTCTTCGCAGTCTCTCGCTGATTCTCGCTGCAACCTTCATGCCACCACGCGGTCGTCCCACCCTCGTCGTTCTCTCCCTTGTCACTTCCTCCTCTGTCGCGTTGTTCTCTTCTGCCCCGTCCTGCGAGTGCGCGCCAAAGAAAGAAAGAAAGAAAACAGACAACCCAAGGGAGGGATGGGAGGACGGCACGCCGCCACCACACAGGGATTTTAAGGAGAGGTGTGTGGTGCGCTGGCCGTCGCCCACCCTAGGGAGTCTGCCTCTTCCTATCTCTCTTCGCAGTCTCTCGCCGATTCTCGCTGCAACCTTCATGCCACCTCGCGGTCGTCCCACCCTCGTCGTTCTCTCCCTTGTCACTTCCTCCTCTCGCGCCAGTCCCGCGCCAAGTCGGCAGCAAATTCTTTTGTTCACTCGGCGGTGTGCCACTGCCCGAGACAGACGTCGAGAGTGCGACAATTCGCCGGAGACATGGCCTCACAGCTCATCGCCAACCTCGAGGCGTGCGCCTCTCGCGACGACCTTGGCGACATCTGCCAAGCAATCGAGGAGGCGCCCAGCTTCGATCAGCTCGCGCTCGCTCAGCTCGCCATCGCCTCGGGGGAGGCGGAGGTGACCGCGGCGGCGCTTGGCCGCATCGAGTCGCGGCTCGGCGCTGCGCTGGGCGCGCACGTGGCCGCGCGCTACAGCGAGCTCATCACCGAGGTGGACGCCGTTCGCTCGCTCGAGGCGCGGCTCGTGCAGTCGCACAGCCGGGTGGAGCGGCTCGCGGCGACGGTGCGGCGCGTCCGCACGACGACGGTGGGTCAGCACGAGCAGCTGAGCGGGCGCGTGTCGCAGCTGGAGCACATGCAGGAGTGCTCCTCCCTGCTGAGGCGGGTCCAGCGGCTGCTCTACCTCTGCTGGCGGCTGCACGAGGCGGTGGACGCGTCCAAGGCACGGAGGTCGGCGGGCGGCGGTGCGGGGTCGGGGGCGTGGCGCATCGAGCTGTCGAGCGCGGAGCTGCCCAAGGCGGCGGTGGCGCTGCGCGAGGTGGAGGAGATCCTGGAGGCGGGGGAGGAGCCGGCTCGGAGGCGTGAGGTTGTGAGCGGCGCCTCCTCACGGCGCGCGGCTTGTGAGCAGGAGGAGGAGGAGAGACTCGACGGCGTGGAGCTGGTGGCGCCCGAGCTGCAGTTCGCTCGCTCCGTCGGCGCCGCCGTCCGGCGTCAGGTTGAAGCAGAGAGCGCCTCTCGACGTCGCGCTCGAGGCGTCGCCTGCTCACGGCTTGTGCTGGCTCGCGCCTGTCAACTCTAGGCGGGGCGGGGTGAGGCGGCGGGGCGCTCCTCGACAGAATAGGTTGATGACGAGTCACGGAGTTGCCGCAGGCGGACGGGATGTTGCGGGAGGCGCTCCGGTCGCTCAACCAGCCGTCGCTCACCACCGCGCTGCAGGTCTCGTCCTCCTTCGGCCGCCTCTAACTTTCATCATGAGTTTCATTCTTCGCCCGCTCCTGCAGGTCTTCTTCTCCCTCGGCTGCCTGCGCGACAAAGTCGAGGAGGCGGTGGCGGCCGCCGCGGCGTCGCTGGGCACTGACGTGTCCGACGCCCTCACCAACATCGACGCGAGGGCGGCGCGCGGCGGGCGTGCGGGGTGGGTGGCTGCGCTGTGGGGGCAGGTGGGGGCTGTGGGGGAGCTGCTCCTCGTGTCGATCAATCGATGAGTCACTCTTCATGAATGGGCGTCAGGTGGAGGCCGTGGGGGAGCTGCTCCTCGGTGCCGCGACCCGGCTCTGCCTGCTCACTCGCGTGCTCTCCAAGCGGCGGGGCAGCGTAGAGGCGGGAAGACGAGGGCCTTGCGCTAGTCCGACCAGCGCCGCGAGAGGGACACGTCCTAATTAGTTGGTTAATTAATTGGTTAATTAGTTAGTTAAGCGCCTCGAGAGGGACACGCTGCAGTCGCACTCGCTCTTAGCTCTCGTACGCACGCGATGCACGCCGCACGACACCGCGCTCCCAGCCCTTTAGCGTGCCCACGCCTCCAGGCGGGACCCGCTCACGCACACCCTCTTCGCCTCGCTCCTCACGGGCCAAGGAGCCGACCCGCGCGCGGGCGAGGAGGACTCTTCACCCGCCGCAGCGCCCGCCGGCGGCGGCGACAACGGCGACGGCGGCGGCGGCGGCGGCGGAGTCGGCGGGCTGGAGGCGGCGCTGCGCGAGGCGCGCGTGCGTCTGGGGCCGGGGACTTGCCGCATCGCGAGCCTGCCCGAGACTGAGCCGAGGGGTTGCGAGACTAGGCGTGGCCCGAGGCAGACCTCAGCCTGATCGGGTCCGACCCCCTCCTCGGACCGCTCCTGAGGGGTGCCGACGCCTCCGCGCCCCGCGCCGCCCCCCTCGCCTCCCCTATGGCTCCGGCCAGCGCGCAGCCGCCGGCCGGCTTGCGCGCGCTGTGGCGGCCTCTGGCCGTGTCTGCTTGCGGCTCGCTCTGCTCTGCCTGCGACCGCTCCTCCTCCCTCCGGTCCGTGCTCGTCGCCGAGCTGCCTCGCCTCGTCACCGCCCTCCTCTCCTCGCTCGGCCGGCTGCCAGAGACCGCCGCCACCGCCGCCATCCCGCCCGACGCCGCCGCCGAGCTCGGGGCGGACGCGCTGCTGCGTCTGCTCCGCCCGCTCGCCGAGCCTTACCAGCAGGAGAGCACCGCCTCCCTCTTCGAGGCGAGCGACGGCTTCGCGGCCGCCCTGCAGCGGCTGGCCGCCGCCGGCACCGCCAGGCTGGGCGGCGGGCTGGGCGGCGGCGGGCTGGGCGGCGGGGAGGCCAACGGAGAGGGCGGCGGCGGCGGCACGCCCGAGCAGCCCCGTGTGGGCACGCCGGGCGGCGGCGGCGGCGGGGCGGTGAACAGCGACGCGGCGGTCGAGGCGGGTGCGGTGCTGCGCCGGCGCGCGATCGGAGCGTTGCGGCGCAGCGCCCCGGTCCGCACACTGCAGCTGGGCGTGGTGCAGGGCCTGGCTCAGGCGATCCGGATGCTCGCCGCCAAGCGCGTGCCGCCGCGCGTGCGTCCGCCGGCCGCCGCGTTTCCCGCCTCCACACTCGTGCGTTCTTCTCTCGCCACATAGGCTCGAGCTGATGCTGGCGGAGCGGCCGGCCGCCGAGGCTGGCTCGCGCGCGTGGGCGGCCTCAGAGGCTGCCAACGGCGCAACCCTGACCGTGCTCAAGGCGCTGCGTGAGGACTTGGTCGCCGAGATGAGCGGGATGGCCGAGGCGGCCGCTGCGCCGCTGTGCGTCCTGCCCCCGCCGCGGGCTGGCGCAGCCACCGCGCGGCCTGACCCCCTCGCCTTTGCCTACGACCCGTCAGGCGCGTCGCGGTCGGCGGGCTGGCGCCGGTCGTGACGACGCTCGCCAACCCGGCGACGCCCTTGCCAGACGCCTTGCGCGAGGCGGGCGCAAAGGTGCGTTCGCTCAGAACCGTGGGGCACGTGGCCCACGTGGCTCTCAATCCCACCTCTCCCTCTTCTCTCCCAACAGGTACTCAAGCAGCTACTCCGTTCGGGCATGATCGAGGAGGGTTGAGACTTGAGCGTGGGTGATTCGTCACGTCCGGAGAGTGGATGCTAGTGCGCTCCTGTCCACGCGTGCAGCACTTGGAGCACTTGGAGTGCAGTCGGTAACCTCACAGCACTTGAGTGCAGCGGTGCACTTGGAGCACTTGGAGTGCAGTCATCAACCTCACATCCAGGGCCGAAAAGAAAGAAAACACACAACCCAAGGGAGGGATGGGAGAACGGCACGCCGCCACCACACAGGGATTTTAAGGAGAGGAGTGTGATGCGCTAGCCGTCGCCCACCCTGGGGAGTCTGCCTCTTCGTATCTCTTTTCGCAGTCTCTCGCCGCTTCTCGCTGCAACCTTCATGCCACCTCGCGGCCGTCCCACTCTCGTCGGTCTCTCCCTTGTCACTTCCTCCTCTGTCGCGTCGTTCTCATCCAGGGCCGGGGAGCTCCGCAGAAAAGCGCGGAATTCTTCTTTCCCTGTCGCTGTTGCCCCCAACAACATGCTCTCCGACCTCGTCGCGGGCGCCGGGTGCGACGTCACGGGCGAGAACAACGCGCTCGCCAAGCTCAGCGGCGCGATCTACGGCGGCCTCGAGCGCGAGTATGCTCGGCGTGAAGGCGAGGGCTCGTCCTCGTCGGCCTTTGCCGGGCCGTCTTCAGACAGTCTCCCGCCGATGAGCGAAGAGGAGGCGGCCTTCCGGGCGCGCTTCACCGGCGGGCCTAGCGAGCCGGCAGCCTCTACCGTGCCGTCTCACCCTCCGTCGCTCGCTGCTGCGGCGCCGCCCTCCGCCATTGCTCCCGCCATCGCTCCCGCCGCCACCGCCAGCCTCGCCGCTGCAGACCCCACCGAGCAGGCCGCGGTCTCAGAGGCTGTCTCAGGCGGCTACGCATCCGGCGCGAGCGGCTACGTCGGGTTCGCCGAGCACCGCCCGCCGCGCTGGCACCCTCCGCATGAGCGCTCCCTCCCTCGCGGCGGCTTTGCGCCGCCGCCCGAGCTGGTTTGGCTGCAAGAGGCGCGCGAGGCGAGGGCGAGGCGGGAGAGGGAGGCGGTGGCTCGGCGTGCGGCGCGGGACGGGTCCGAGTGGCCGGGTGGGCTGCGGGCAGAGGCGCAGGCGCAGGCGCAGGCGCTGCCGGCGGCGTCGACAGCGCGGCGAGGCGGCGAGGCGAGGGGCGACGCGAGGGGCGAGGCGAGGGGCGGGAGGGGCGCGGCGTCGGCGGCGTCGTCGGGGACGCAGTATGCGGACGAGATCGCGAGCGAGATGGAGGGGGCGTGGGGCGTCGGCGCCGGCGACCTCGACTCCGCCGCCGCGGCGTGGGAAGGGCTCGCTGACAGCGGCAGCGGGACGGGGCTGCAGGCGGGCGCGGGGAGAAGGGGAGGGGGGTTGGCACCGCACTCTCTGGGTGGGTGTGTGTGTGACGCGGGCGAGGGGTGTGCGAGTAGGCGCTGTGGGAGTCGCTGCGAGGCGAGGTGGAGGGGCTCGACGGCCTCGCTTCCCCTCCGTGGGGTGAGGAGGGAGGGGCAGCCGGCGCTGCGGAGGAGCAGCAGTACGCGTTCCGCGAGCCAAACCCGTTCCTCGGGGCGGGCGGCGGGAGGGAGGGGCTGGTGCAGGCGGGCAGCGAGCTGCTGGGGCAGGGCGACCTCCCGCGAGCCACCCTCGCCGTGGGGTGTGATCAGCGCCTCTCCACGCCTCTAGACTGCGAGCAGGCGACCTGCCGCAAGCGATCCTCGCCCTCGAGGCGGCCGTGCGGTCGGAGCCTGCTCGCGAGGCGTCCGAGTCGACCCAGCTGGACGAGGCGGGGAGGGAGGAGGCGAGGCGGGAGTCCGTCGCGTGGCAGCTGCTCGGCCAGGTGCCACACCCTCGCCCTCGCCCTCGCCCTCGCCGTCGCAGTCGCCCTCTCTCTGACCCTCGCCACACCTCGACGGCTCCACACCTCGACGTCTTCACACCTCAATCTCTTCACACCTCGACGTCTTCACACCTCAATCTCTTCACACCTCGACGTCTTCACACCTCAATCTCTTCACACCTCGACGTCTACCTCGCCCCCTCCACCCCTCGCCCCCTCCGTCCCTGGGCCATCCCTCGCCCCCTCCTCGAGCCAGGCGCATGCCGACGCAGACGACGACGCCGCGGCGATCAGCTGCCTGCGCCGCGCCGTCGCCGCCGACGCACAGAACCTCGCCGCCCTGCTGGCCCTCGGGGTCTCGTACACCAACGAGCTGGACGCGTCCCGCGCCCTCGACCACCTCCGCCTGTGGCTGCGCCGCCACCCGGACTTCGCCTCGCTCGCGCCGGCCGAAGAGGAGGCGCAGCTGTATCTTAGGGTAGTAGAGCCTGCCCCTGGAGCCTGCCCCTGGAGCCTGTATCTTAGGGTAGTAGAGCCTGTACCTCAAGGTAGAGCATGTGCCCCTGGAGCCTGCTCCCGGAGCCTGCCGCGCGCCTCTGCTCCTCTCCCCCCCACACGCGGGAGGCAGGCCGAAAGGAGTCTTAAAGTCTTGCTGAGCGAGTCGGCAGGTGGGCAAGGGCAAGTACGACGTCTGGGCGCGGCAGGCCGACACCACCGCCCTCTTCCTGCGCGCCGTTGGCAGGGCGCCGCACAGCGCCGACTTGCACGCCGTGCTCGGCGAGCCGCACACAGCCTTGTCGCATGGTTCCACTCTCCTTGGCTGGACGGCGTGGTGCTGCCCTCCCCAGGCGTGCTGCACAACCTGTCCCGCGAGTACGGCGCTGCGGTGGGCCCACGCCGAGAGGGGTGTTTCAGAGAAGAAGAGGGGCGGCCGTGCGGCTCACCAGCAGCTGTGAGCAGGTCTCCTCCTTCGAGCGGGCGCTCGAGCTGCGGCCGGAGGAGCACTCGCTCTGGAGCAAGCCGTTGTCAGCGGCAATGTGAGCATGGCCACTCATGCGGGTAGGACTACTCGCTCTGGAACAAGTTGGGCGCGACGCAGGCGAACGCGATGAGCTGCGCCGCCGCCGTGCCTTGCTACGTGAGGGCGCTCGAGTTGCGGCCGAACTATGTGCGTGCGCTGACCAACCTCGGCGCAGCGACGCCCCGCCCCTCCCTTTCCCCTCCTCCGCCTCCTCCCCCTCCGAGCCTGCGGAGGGAGCGTGCGTAGAGCGTGCGTAGGCATCTCGTATGGCAACCTGAGCGAGCAGCGCGCCGCGGCGCAGTGCTACCTCAAGGCCCTCTCCCTCAACCAAGACGCCGCCCACGTGCGGCCTCGCCCCGCACCGCCCCGCACCGCCCTCGCCTGCCCGCCCTCGCCTGCCCGCCCTCTCCTGCACCGCCCCATGTGCCTCCCTCGCCAGCCCCTCCCCGCCAGCCCCTCCCCGCCAGCCCCTCCCCCTCACCCCCTCCCCTCACCCCCTCCCCTCAACCCCCTCCCCCCCGCAGGTGTGGACCTACCTCACGATGGTCTTCTCCGCAATGGGCCGGACGGACTATGTCCAGATGGCGGCCGCCACCGACCTCGCGGCGCTGTGTGCAGAGTTTGAGGTCTGAGGGCCCAGAGAGGAGGCGCTTTGCACTACGGGCGGGAGGCCTCGACAACAGCGAGAGAACAGAGTCGCAGAGTGCTGTGGGCCGAGACGCGCGCGACACTACAGGGACTCCTGAAGGTGCGGTGGATGCTCGTTTCCTTCAGGCGGATCACGCTGGGTGCGAGACCTGATCACGCTCGTGTCATTATCGAGACATGTGCATGCACATGTGTGTGGCGCGGGGGGCTCAGCGCTCTCGCGCTGCGCAGCTGTGGGTGTGGTCTAAAGCCGTGTGGGGGAGAGGTGGTCGCGCGCGTATGTGTGTATCTCCTCTTATTCTCTCAGCACTTCTCTTGTGTGGTGTCGCGTGGGCTCGAATGGCTTTTTGTTGAACGAATTTTAGCGCGCCGCTCCGAAAGTGCCGTCCAGAGGCTACGCGCACACGGACTTCTACACGAGGCCCTTCATCTCTCACACCGTTACCTGCTGCGGCGAGTGCGCTTCGGCTCATTCCCCTGGATCGTAGCCCAGAGGCCGTACAGCGCGAAGAAGAGGAGCACCGCAAGAACCACCGTGCCGGCCAAGACCTCTTTGCGCTGCTGCGCCTGGTCGGTCGCACCCGTGGCGCGCCGCTCCGCGCGCGACTGCTTCTTTGAGTAGTCTTTCCTCTTCTGCCCCGTCCCGCCGATCTCCGAACCGACCACCAGCTTGCCGATGCTCTGAACGATGAAGGTGGCCGTCTCCTGGTATTCGCGGCGGATCAGCGGCATGCACGACTACAGGGCGCGCTGGCTGCGGAGAAAAAAAATAGTGTGTTGTCGCACATGGAAAGACACACAGCCCCTTCCCCTCCCCCCTCAAGGGCGAGGACACGCACAGGCCGCACCTCTAGTGAGGCCCGCATAGTATGTGGGAGACTCGTGCCGCCGCCCCTGCCACCCCTGTGTCAGTGTGCCTGTGGTAGGAGAGACTGCCAGCGACAAGCTGGAGGCAGGTCGCTAGACTGAGATGAGACCGCCAGTGGATGTGGGAGTCCGCCGCGCACCGCGCTGCGAGCCTGTCGTGTCCCTTGTCAGGAGCAGGAGAGCCCCACCTGTCCCCCTGATCGTCCTTCCAAAATCCTGCTCGTGCAGGTGGGGACCCTGTCCTCGTCCCATCCCTCGTTTGGCGTGTCTGTTGTCTTTCTTTCTTTTTTAGGTACTCGGCTTTCAATCCCAAACTGTCACTCCCCTTTCTCCCGGCCGGGGTGGGGCGCGCGCGGGGGCGGCGGGTGTGCGGCGAGTGTGCGGGATGTCTGTGGGCCCGAGAGCGATGTGTATGCCATGTCCGCCTTGCGTTGTTTCATAACATCGAAGGCTAAGCTCAAAAAATTTCCCGGTCTTTCTTTGTTTGGTTAAAATCCCTGTGTGATGGCGGCTTGCTGTCCTAACAGAAAGAAAACGGACAACCCCAGGGAGGGATGGGAGGACGGCACGCCGCCACCACACAGGGATTTTAAGGAGAGGGGTGTGGTGCACTAGAGAGAGAGAGATTTTTATTAACCAACAAGAAATCACGACTTGGAGCACTCTCACAGTTCTTGCACTAGCCGTCGCCCACCCTTGGGCGTCCGCCTCTTCCTACAGTGGGTTGCGGGCATTAAGAAAACGTAGTGTTAAGAAACCACGCCGAGCGATTTCCGCAAAAATCTAAGAAACCACGGCGCGCCGCAGACGCGGCCCCGAGAAAAGGCCAGAAACGAGTGTGAACGGGAGCCCCAGCTCAAAATTTCTCTTCGCCTGACTCCAAGTGCTCCAAGTGCCTGCGGCGCGCGCACTTGTCACTTTCCAAGTCTGCGGTGTTCTGAGTGGAGTGGATGGAGGCGTGTGTGCGTCTTCCCCCGTCATCCAGAGAGCCGACTCAGCGGCAGACTCTGGCATCGCCCTCGCGGACCGGCAGCTTACAGCTTACCTCTTACTTACCTAAAAATCCTTCGGGCCCGCCGGCTCTGCTGGCTTGAGTGCCGGCCGGAGCTAAGAAACCACGGCGCGGGGTGGATGGGGGCTGTGGAAAGGCTTAGAAACGGCGGCGTGCCGCGCCATCCTGTTTTCTTAATTAATGCCCGCAACCCACTGTATCTCTCTTCGCAGTCTCTCTCCGATTCTCGCTGCGATCTTCGGAGGGAGAGAGATTTTTAGCAATACCAAACAACTCTAACTTTGTGTTTGATCTTCGTGCCACCTCGCGGTCGCCCCCTTCTCGTCGTGCTCTCCCTTGTCGCTTCTGCTTGCCGTCCTCCCATCCCTCGCTTGGGCCGATGTTTTCTTTCTTTCTTTGGTTTTTCCACTAGGCACGGGACTGGCGGCACTGGCACTATAAACACGCTTCCCACGGGAGCCAAATGAAGCGCGAAATAATATAACCAAAAGATGTGATATTAGTGGCTAACCTCGGAATGTGACACCAGAATGGCTGTGCTGGCTCCTACACAGCCATCTTACCTAAGGATGGCTGAGCTAGCTACAGCGCAGCCATAGCCTCCAGGCCGATGGCTGCAATACACACAGGGCAGCCATCCTTGGTAGACATGGCTGGAGACGCACTACCGCAGCCATACCGCCCGCCTCGAGGTGAGCCCTCTTGGCTGAGCTGGCTGCATCGCAGCCATCTTGGGTAAGATGGCTGGGGGACAGCCATTTCAGCCATTTCAGCCATCTACTATGGCTGGGGCACAGAGATTGCAGCTCATCCTCCAGATCCGTGCCTGGCGAGAACTCCCTGTGCAGCCGAAGGACGTCCCCCCCGCGAGCATGTTTGAGCAGATCTACAAATCTGGCACCTGGCAGCACGGAAACGCGAGCCTGCCCCTCTCGGGCACCGGCTCGACGGCGGAGGCGTCCGCCAACGCCCGGATCGCGCTGGCGGCTGCGCTCGGCCGCACCAGGGCGAGGAGCGTGCTCGACGCGCCCTGCGGTGATTTTACGTGGATGCGGCTGATGCTGCCCACCTTTGCGCGGCTCGGCGTCCACTACACCGGCGTCGACATTGCTCGGCCGCAGATCGCAAGGCTGCAGGCGGAGTTCGAGGGCACGGCGGGGGTCGAGTTTCGGGTGGGAGACCTGGTGGTGGAGCCTCCGCCGCGCGCGACCGCGGGCCTCATCTTCTCGCGCGAGATGACGCAGCACCTCAACCCGGAGGAGGTGCTGCGCGTGCTGCATCACTGGTCGCGCAGCGGGAGCAGGTCCGGCATGCCAGCGGTCCCGCACGCCAGTGCTACTTCTGATCAACTAAGAGTCATAACTGTTGACTACTTCACAACAGGTACCTGCTGCAGACAACCTACCGGCTCAAGGACGGCTCCAACCGCAACTTTGACCGCGTGTCGCGCGGCTCGCACTCGATGATCGACTTTGAGCGCGTGCCGTTCAGTTTGCCGCCGCCAATCGCCTCGTGGGTCGAGGACGACACGCACACACACACGGAGCGGCTCGCGCTGTGGAGGTTGCCTCTGCAGACGCACGTGTACGGCGTCGCGGCCGAGGCCGGCACCCAATATGTGAGCAACGCGAGAAGGGGGGAACACGAACAGACGTGAGGCTATACCTGAAAAAAGCAATGTCATGTTGGCCCAATGAGCCCTCAATGTGTTTGTGTATTCACATTGTGTATTCACCTCGCTTTGCGGTGTTTGCGGAGCCCGCGGCCCGGGAGCGGGCGGGCGAGGGCGCAGGCTCGCCGCCGCAACATGCGCCGCAAGGATTTGCACGAATGTTTTCTCAATGCCAAAACCAGCGAGTTTGTCTTTTGCGATTCGTTTTTTGAACTGTGATGTGAACATGTGTGTGAATACTGACTGAATTGATGAGGAGAGAGAGAGAGACTGTCATCTATCTCACCCCGCCGCTTCTCCGCCACCACTCGTTCTCCGCCGCCGCCTGGCTCGGGCATTGAGATTTGATCCCGCCACACTCGCGATCAAAGCGAGCCCACGTTGGCCGTGGGCACGGCCAGAGCGAGTCGTAGCACGCCCACGTCTCCTCAACGAAGCGGAGGTCTGGCGCGGCGGCGGCGCAATTCTCGCTGTGGTTGACGCCGAGCCACAGCTGCTGCGTGCGGTCGAAGATGATTGTGTCGAGCCCGCGCGGCATCGCGGTGGCAAGGTTCCGGACGTGCCACGTGCCCGCCCAAAAGTGGACGGCGTACGCCTCCTGCAGCTCGTGGTAGGGGAGCGGCGCGTCCGCGGATCGGGTCGACGCCCCGCAGCGCCGCGTCCGCTTCTTCGAGTACGACTCCCACGCCGCGTTGAGAAAGTAGGGCCCCGCCGCGCTCATCACGTCCTTGTGGCGCGCGCGCGGGCGCAAGAGGCCGAGGGCGTGCTTCCAGAAGGGGTGGCGCGGCGCTGACGCCATGAAGAAGTTGGTCACGTACCGCGTGTGCCTCGACCGCTTGCTCTGCCCGGGCTCTCTCACCTGGGAGGAGCGGGGCGGTGGGCGAAGCTCCCCGCAATCAGACGCGCGACGGAGTTGCGGGGCCGGGCGTGAGGCTTACAAGGACGAGCGGCTTGTGGAGCAGCCCGTCGATGCTGTCGCCACACCTATGGCTGGCCTGGGCACTGAGTCCGAAGAGTGCTAGCCGCCGCAGGCCACCTGTGGCCGGCGGCGCACGGTATCACGTCGAGGTCGGCGTAGACGCCGCCGTGCACGTGCATGTACAGCAGCCGGCTCGCGTCCGCCCTCCGGATCCCCGTCGGGCGCTGGATCTCGTAGCCCTCACGCACAGAGGCCCCGACCTCGTGGCCGTCGCGGACCGTGTGCGGCGTGTCGTTGTAGGCGGAGAAGACGTCGATCAGCTCGGGCGCGTGCTCCTTCCAGAGCCGCTCGTTGTCCTCGTCGGTCCAGAGCCTGTACTCCCACCCGCTCAGCGATCGCCAGCGGGCTGAGAGTGGCTCGAGTGGTGGCGGCGGTCTCTTCTCCTTCCATGACTGATGAACGATCCGCGGTATGCTGCTTTTGTCGTCGGCACAAATTGCCGGCGCTCCACGTGCTCGTCGAGCCGCAGGGAGCCCACCATCCGTCACCACTGGTGTCCGGTTCGTCTCGTGAGAAATGCGGCCCGAGTTTGATGCTTGCAGAACGTGGAGCGGGAAGGCGAAGAGAAGAGCGACCAGCAGCAGGGTGGCCGCGAGGTCTCTCCTCATTGGAAACGTGCGAATCCAACGTTGTAGCGGCGCGAATACACAACGTGTCAAAGCTCGAACAGCGCGCGCACGCTGGCTGAAGAGCCACAAGAGTCGAAGAGCCAGGAGCGGCGAGAAGTTGGCCGCATTGTTTCTTTCATTTTCTACGGCGGGAGAAGAAAGAACAAAGCCTCGGGAGAAGAAAGGCGGCGCGAACGCCCTCTCGCGCTCGGACATCCCTCCCTCGACTTGTCTGTCTTCTTTCTTTCTTTTTCGGACACCGACGTACAAATGTACGAGTACCTGTTCGAAACCTTGGCGGGTGGTGTTAGGCTTGTATGTATGTTTCCTCTCGCACGTTGCCTCGTTTCTTTTCCGTGTTTCTCTACAGCACCCTTTCCTCTTGGTTAATAAAAATCTCTCTCTCCCTTTCGTTGTTTGGTATTGCTAAAAATCTCTCTCTCCCTTTCGTTTCCTCTCTAGTTTCCGGGGAAACCATCAAATTTTCCGGGCTCTGAGCCGAGTCTGAGAGAGATTTTTGAAAACCAATTCTCTCCGAGTCTGAGGCTGGTTTGGGCCCAAAATAAGCCGAACCGGCAAATACCGGGGTATTTTGCGGGTATACCTGAAAACCCCCGGGTATACCTGGAAAATACCCGGTAATTTTGCCGGGGGTTTGCAGATTTTGCCCCAGACCAGCTCAGACTCAGGGAAACTTGAGAGTTGCCAGAATGGAGCACCAAACGCCCATAACAGCCATAACACCCAGAACATGTTATGGGCTGCTATGCCCCGAGTGCCGAGAGCCATAACACCATAACAATAACTGTGAGTGGGGTGCAATGTCAGTCGCGCTGCAGCTCGCTCGCGGCGGCGGATGAGATTGCGACGAGCTCAAGCTCGCCGCGCGGCGTCGGAGGACGCCACCGTCGCCTACGTAGACTCCCTTGCGTCACTACGTGCCTCCGTGTTTATCCCGTGCCCGATTTTCGTTTTTTCGTCCCAGTTCCGGTGCTGTCTCTCCCTTCTCGACTGTATCTGTATGTATGTAGAAAGGTAAAGAACAGCCAGGCTCGGACTGGACACCAAGCGCGGTGTGGGTGTCTCTGCTTTTGCGAAAAAAGGCGTCGTATCTGCTTTTTGCTAAAAACGGGCCGCCTAGACCCTAGCATCACTAGTATCCGGCACACAAAAAGAAGGAAACGCAGCGAAACTTCCGATTGCCACACGTTCTAAAGCTGTCCTGCTCGGTGGATCTGTCTGTCTTGTCCTCTCCGACATGACATGAAGAGAAGAATAAAAATCTCTCTCTCATGACATGACAGAGTGTCCCTTGTAATGCGAGACTGCGTTGTGTTCTTGTTTTCTATCCGCTTTCTTGTGTGTGTTAGTGCCAGTGCGCGCCAGTCCCGTGCCCAGTGTAATAAATAAGTAGAGCAGACATCTCCAGGATGTGCGAGGGAGTTTTGTTAAAAATTCGGCGAAAAAGAGAAGTTACACAACTTGCACACGTCACAGATGTTCTTCGCACCATTCTTGCTCTGCTGCTTGACGGTGGTCCTGGCGGCCAGCCCTCCGCCGCCAGCCGTGTCGCCAGCGGGTGGCTCTCCGCCCGCAGCGAAGCCGGCCGCGGCCTCCGCACAGGCTGAAGCAATTCCAACCTCTGAGCCATCCGAAAAAGATGTTGCGAACGCGAGTGATGCTTCTCCGAAGAAGAGAGCACGGCAAAAGAAGGACAATGAGACCAGCAGAAGCGTCGGCGGCGGCGGTGCCGGAAGCAAAGCGGCGAAGAGCAAGAGCAGCAGCCACACCTCCAAGGCCAAGAAACGCTCTGCTGCTCCCTCCTCCCCCTCCTCCAAACAACGCACTTGGGTTAAGAAGCACCAGACCTTGATTGCTATTATTCTCATCGGCCCTGCCTGCGCTGTGCTTCTCTTTTACTTCATTCAGAGGGCTCGAGCGCAGTCGGCTTCAAACCAGCCAAAGGCCGAGAAATTGCCTAGCGACAACCTCGCGCCCGCGGCCGACTCTGAACCCGAGGGGCCTGACTCGCCGCGCCCGGACCCTTACGCCTCGGCCTTTGGCATGCAGTCGGACTCGCCTCCTTCATAGCCGCAAAGCACCACGAATCAAGGCTTTCTCGAGCGGTGTTGCGGCTGAGGGTGGAGACGAGTCCATCGCGGCCTCCTACACCCCACACGTGCCACGGCGGCACTCTGTAGCGCAGTGCATATACAGATTACCGCCCACGACTCGCTCGTCGCCACACCTGTGCGCAGAGTTGCAGTTGTGTGCATGGCCGCATATGTGCGCGGGTGTGTATGTGTGTGTATGTCGTCGTCCGTCGACCTGGGCGCCGCGCTTGCCATACAGTGTCTCAGTGTGGCCAGCGCGAGCAGGTGTACCCCAGCGGGCAGCACGGCCGGCGGTGGTACACCCATCTTGCGCGGGCGTGCTGCGCCATACTCGAGTATGCCATCGCCAAAATTCAATGCCATTGCTCGGTGGTGGGCCGCGTTAACTTTTTTGCAGACGAGACGAGTTTTCACGTTAGTTTGAAGTAGAAGTACACGGCCCGCAAACAAAGATCGGGGCGTCGCCACCGTCCCCGACTATTTGGTCCACGGTACACAGACGCTTGCAGCGCCACCTCAGTCCGCGACGCACTGCACGCAGCCCGCCCGCCCGCCCGATAAATTACGGCGCGGCGTCGTGTCACGGACAGCCCCCGCCCCTACCCCCCGCCCTGCCCTGCCCAACAGACTCCCGCCCACTATAGGCCCACCCACCATCACAGAAGAGACGACCGATCATGTGCATGTGACATGGCATGCCTTACCCAGCCCTCAAGGGCCGCGTGGCATGCTCCGCGGTGCGCAGCTCAGGCGGTGGCGGTGGCCGGGATCTTTCCCGTGCGGACGTTGTACGCCTTGAACTGGCGCGTGAGGAAGAGGCGGCCCTCGTGGAAGAGCGTCAGCGATATGATGGCCTTGAAGATGCCGATGCCCTGGCCGCGGAAGATGCCGCTGAGGCCAAACTTGGCCATGTCGGCACCGAGCTCGCGCACAGCCTGACCGCGGCGCGGAGGGGGGGGGGGGAGGGGGGGTGACCGCTGCAAGGGAAGACTGCCGCTGTAGTTTCGACAGCGGTGACTGGCGAGGGGCGCGAGCAGGAGGGGCGAGGGGTGCAGGCGGGCGGGGCTGCCTCGAAGGGGCCGATGGACTTGCCCTTGATCGAGTTGGTCTGCATGATGACCTCGAGGCGGGAGAGCGGGTTGGTGACGACCACGTAGATGGGTGAGACGACGGCCGACGCGACGAGGTTGGTCGCGGAGCCGGACAGCTGTCCCGTCTGGCCGATCTGCTGCTGCACGTACTTTTGCAGCTTGGGCTGGCCGACGAGGCCGAGCACCGCCGACGCGAGCGAGTGGCCCATCAGCGGGACCGTCCCCCGGAAGAGGGGCGCGAAATACTTCGAGGACGCCTGCGAGGACGCGGCGGCGGGGGCGTGGGAGACGGTGACCTTCTCTAGGGGAGGACGGATGGCGGCGGCTGAGCGCACCTCGCCGAGGATCTCCATGATCGGCTTCTCGGTGCCCTGCAGGCGGGGGGGAGGGCGGGGAGGGTTGAGGGCGGGGACGACGTGAGGACGCTGCGACGCGCCACGCTCGCCCGGCCTCGCGGGCGGTGCGGTCGGTGCGGTCGGTGCGGCGGGTGCGGGGGCGCGCACCGTCTGCTTGAGGAAGGCACGCTGTTGCTTCTCCACCATGCGGACAGGGTTGATGAAGGGGGCGGAGAGGATGGAGGCGGCGGTGGCAGCGGCGTAGCCCGGCTCGTCGTTCCCGCTCAGGTACGTGTACCCCAGCAGCACGCCGAACTTCGGGATCCGCTTGAAGAGGACTCCGATCAGGCGCGGCCACAGCCCAGACATTGACGCAGTGAACGGCGCGGCGATGAAGACGGCGTTGGCCTCGGCCGTGGCGACGGCGGGGGCGACGGTCTCGCCCGCGAGGTTCTTCGCGTACTGCTGCACCAGCTGCCGGTACGCCGTCACCGGGTTGTCGCCCACGGTCTGGATGGCGGAGCCGCCGAGGTACGCGGCCATGTTCTGGATCGGGGACACGCCATTCTTGCCAACCTTGTAGGTCTTCTCCTCGAACAGAAAGTCCCACGGCGCCATGGGTGCTGCGACGGAGGCGGGCGGGGGGCGGCGTGAGCCGAGGTGTGCATGGAGGGTGGTGGGGGTCGGTCCTTCGGCTCGCGTGACATTTCGCGCGCCCGCTGGGCTGCAGGGCGCGCGTGTGATCGAGTTCCGCCCCGTGAGCCGGCTCGCCCGGCGCGTGGGGTGGTGGGGGCGCGGTGCGTGAGCGGCGCGGCCGCTCGGTGGCGGACGGGCGCAGGCGAGGGCTGCAGCATCACCTTTGGAATCAGTGCTGTGTGGGAAGGTGCGCTGGCCAAGGGGAATCGTTGAGATCGAGGAGCGGGGCCACCTCCTTGAGGGATATGGCTGTGAAGAGACGAAGGTACCAGACAACCCAGTATAGAAAGAAATTGGTGGGATGGGCTGTGGTCAAAGAAAACGCATCCGAACTGGCAATCGCAGGAGCGGGGCCATCTCCTTGAGTGAGGTGTGAGAGGGCTCTGGTGTGAACGTTGTGTTCCAGTGTGTGACCCTGCCTCCCGCTCCCGAGCAGTGCTCTGGAGCATCGTGCACAAAACCTCGGAGCACTTGGAGCACTTGGTCATGGAGTGCAGTCGGTAAAACGCTAAAACCTCACTCACACCCACGGAGCATTCCTGCAGCCTGCTGCGCGTTGACAACAAGGCAGTGCCGCATCAGACTTTGCAGCCAAAGTCTTCCTAATTCCTATCCTTGTTGTTCCGGGTGCCGAACAGCGTTTGAATTCTTAAATTAGTGCCAGTCCGCACGCACCCGTGTTGTGCCGATCGGCTGTGTGAGAGGCAGTTGTGGTGAACCTTCTTTTGTAGACGGCTAGGATTGTGAGCAGCCTCGCTCTCAATCCTAGAAGTTGAAGGATTGTGAGCAGCACTCCTCGCAATCGTATTAGCATCTCTGTGCGATTGTGAGCACCTACGCTCTCAATCCTGCATCTTCTAGGACACACTACGGAGCAGCTCCGCTCACAATGTGACTGGTGACGCCTACGTACTCCACATCGCATCGCCAAGCTCCGTCAGCGCCTTGGAGAGCTGCTGCTCCGCGTCGCTCATGAGCAGGGACTCCCAAGTCGTCCGCTGGTCGAACACCTGGAGCAGCTTGAGGAAGCCGTCGGGGCTGCTGACCAAGTTGAAGTTGATGTGCCGCTTGGCGTCGCTCGCCGTCTCGAACAGCTTGTGCGCGAAGATGGTGAAGAACTCCGCCGGATTCTCGTACACGTTCATGCCCTTCAGCATGAGTATGAGGACCTGGTCACGCACCGCCCTCCACGCTGCGGCCGTGTAGCTGGCCTTCATGCCCTGGAGGAGCTTCAGAATCTTCTCCGACGCGTTTCGCCCGACGTCGAGGTCCTCCTTGGTACGCAAGGCCCCGGCCGCTCGCCACATGCTCCTGTTCGCCGCGAACTGGGAGACGACCGGGACGCGGGTCCCCGCTCCCGTCCACAACATGCAGAACGCGAAGAACTTGTCTGAGGTGTCGAGGTGGATGTAGGCGTTGAGCTCCTTGCCGTTGTGAGACACAGGTACGCGTTGGGTCTCGAACTCGAACATGAACTGGTTGGAGTCCTGGTTGAGGTCCAGGCGGCACATCCGGGCCTGTCGCGTTGGTCCCAGAGCTGCTGCGCCGCGTCGCCGAGTGGGCGGCAGAGAGGGAGCGCCTCATCGTCGAGGAGCTGGAGCCGCACAAGGAGATCGAGGCCGCCCGGCGGATGGTGAACTCAAGCGAATCGAGCCACGTCGAGAGCGCCGAGGACGACGAGAAGTGGCTGCGAGAGCGCCTGCCGCCGTACCCGCGCTTCCAGCTCATCGTTTCGGGGTCATTTCTCGCGCCCCTCGTCGTAGAGGTGATCGAGCGCACCGGCGAGAAAATCGTGCGCGATGAGCCGATCATTCTGGAGTAGTTGGGGTGTATCATGGCGTCACGGCGCACCCGCGCCGCTGAGGAGGAGAACGCAATGGTCACCCCCCCATCGTTTTTGTGTTTTCGGATCTCGAGATCTCACGTCTTTACCACTTCAGTGTTCTCTCCTTTCATCTTTTCTAGATAGTTAGAAGCCTCCAGCTTATGGCAGCTACACGTACGGGCTCTGTGCTACGGGGAGGCCGCCTGCGGCTAGTCTGGCGGGGTCGGGGTTGCAGGACGGGCACAAGCGTCGTCCGGAGCGATGACGCTCGCGCCCGAGAAGAAGAAGTTGCGGCCGTAATAGGGCGCGCCATCCCCTGGTCCGACCCGGTACGTCAGCTCAAAGCTGCTCGAACCGGCCGCATACGTGAAGCACACGAACTTGGGCATCGTGTAGCGCATCGGCTTCCCGCGCAGCCACGGACTAATATCTGTGCTAGAGGGGAAGAGTCCTGCCCCCTCGCTGCCATCCGTGGCGCAGGTCTGTATGTCGACGACTCCATCGCCCGGCCCCCGGGCAAACCCGGAGACGCCGCTGCTCGGGCACACATCGTAGTCCTCGCATACGAAACCTCCGTCGGCATCGACGACAACGTCGTCCCATGTGGCGGGATTGTCCCCACCAGTCCCCTCTCTCAGCCCCGTGACGAGCGTGCAGCCAGCAGACGGAGTCGTGATCTCCAGATAGCCGTCCACCTTGATGTTATCGCAAAGGTAGCCGTGGCCATCAGGAATGCCGCCGCCGTGGTGAAAGTAGTCGACGATGTTGCACGCCTGAGATAGTCGGCGAGGCTTGAGGCGCAGCGTGCACCGCGCTAGCTGCAAGTGTGTGCGGTGGCGCTGGCCGCAGCGCGTGTCGCACCTCGACGGACTCTGCGAGGGCCCCGTTCACTCCAGTGTCGATGTCGAAGAGACAAAGGTCGAACGCTGCACAGCAGAGGGGACGGGTTGGCAGCGTGTGTGCGGAAGGCTTTCAGTGGCACGAAATTGCACCATAGGGCACTACCACCGGCGTGCCGTCCGTGTCGTTCGAGTCCGTGAATCGGAACTTGAAGCGAGTGTCCGTAGAGGCGGCGACAGACACCTCGCCGAGTTTTTTGCCCTCGCGCCCGTTGCGCATCGAGCTCCACGGCGTGTACTCGGTCTCGTTGGTCAGGACGAGGTCCTGCGGCGAGGGAGGAAGAGGTTGCATGACTGGGCGGCGTGATCAGACGATCCATAAGAGGGTGACCGTTGTGACATGGCTGTATGGCGTGGAGAGAAAGTTCTGGTTCTTGAGTAGGGTAGAGAGTGCTGAGCACCAAGACTTGGACGGGCTCAGTCTGGTGCGAGCCGTCGTACAACGAGGCGACTTTCGAGAAGCGGAGTTGCTGCGGAGTCCCCGGCGGCGCGGGTGCGAGGCCTGAGCAGACGCAGCCACACCCACACGGGCAGCCGCCAGATGGGGGCTCCACTCCGTGGGCGAGACCGCCGTCACACGCCGAGACTGTCACGGTGGGACCAGGCCCTGGGAAGCCGCCGAGGTTGTTGATGTCGTTCGCCAGGTCAGCCTCCGATCCATCCCTGTCAAAGTCGATACGAAGCCCGCAGGGCGGTGGCGAAGGCGGCGGTGAAGGTGGCGGCGTGGGTGGCGGCGGGATCGACGGGGGCAAAGGTGAAGGCGGGCTTGGCGGCGGTAACAAGGGTGGTGGGGGTGGCAAAGTAGGGGTGCCCTCTGGGACCATCGGGGGGAAGCTGGGGGGTGGCGGCGAGGGCGACGGTGGTGCTGGTGGCGGCGGTGCTGGTGGGAGTGGCGGCGACCATGGCCGTGAAGGGCTCGCCGGCGCGCTGGTCGGCGCACTCGTCGGCGCCGTCGTCGGCACCACGGTGGGAGCGGTGGTGGGTGCGCTGGTGGGCAGGCAGGTCATGGACTCCCCATTGTCGCACTTGCTCTCGCCCTCTTTCGCGAAGCAGAGCTTGTACTTGTGCTTCGCGGCATTCTTTACCTCGTAGTAAATGTAGCACGCATCCGAATCCGCTTTCTTGCACTTGTCGACTTCAACACGCCCCGCCAGATCGCTGCAGGTGAGCGGTGGCGGCGCAGACGGCAGCGGCCGCGTGGGCGGTGGTGTGAGCGGCGGCGCAGACGGTGGCATTGGCGGTGGAGCACAGCCAGACACGAGCTGGCCGCTGCACTTGCTGCTGCCCGAGAGTGGCCCGAAGCAAAGCCGGGCGACGCCCGACGCCGCGTCCTTCCAGGTGAAGAATGCGGAGCATTCGCCCGCGTATGCCTTCCTGCAACTCTTGTTCGGAAGCTCAGTCCGCCCGGCCAGATCGCTGCAGGTGAGCGGTGGTGGAGCAAGCGGTGGAGAAGGCACGGACGGCGGCGCAGACGGCGGGGCTGACGGCGGCGGGAGTGGAGCACAGCCAGACACGAGCTGGCCGCTGCACTTGCTGCTGCCCGAGAGTGGCCCGAAGCAAAGCCGGGCGACGCCCGACGCCGCGTCCTTCCAGGTGAAGAATGCGGAGCATTCGCCCGCGTATGCCTTCCTGCAACTCTTGTTCGGAAGCTCAGTCCGCCCGGCCAGATCGCTGCAGGTGAGCGGTGGTGGAGCAAGCGGTGGAGAAGGCACGGACGGCGGCGCAGACGGCGGGGCTGACGGCGGCGGGAGTGGAGCACAGCCAGACACGAGCTGGCCGCTGCACTTGCTGCTGCCCGAGAGTGGCCCGAAGCAAAGCCGGGCGACGCCCGACGCCGCGTCCTTCCAGGTGAAGAAGGCGGAGCATTCGCCCGCGTATGCCTTCCTGCAACTCTTGTTCGGAAGCTCAGTCCGCCCGGCCAGATCGCTGCAGGTGAGCGGTGGTGGAGCAAGCGGTGGAGAAGGCACGGACGGCGGCGCAGACGGCGGGGCTGACGGCGGCGGGAGTGGAGCACAGCCAGACACGAGCTGGCCGCTGCACTTGCTGCTGCCCGAGAGTGGCCCGAAGCAAAGCCGGGCGACGCCCGACGCCGCGTCCTTCCAGGTGAAGAAGGCGGAGCATTCGCCCGCGTATGCCTTCCTGCAACTCTTGTTCGGAAGCTCAGTCCGCCCGGCCAGATCGCTGCAGGTGAGCGGTGGTGGAGCAAGCGGTGGAGAAGGCACGGACGGCGGCGCAGACGGCGGGGCTGACGGCGGCGGGAGTGGAGCACAGCCAGACACGAGCTGGCCGCTGCACTTGCTGCTGCCCGAGAGTGGCCCGAAGCAAAGCCGGGCGACGCCCGACGCCGCGTCCTTCCAGGTGAAGAAGGCGGAGCATTCGCCCGCGTATGCCTTCCTGCAACTCTTGTTCGGAAGCTCAGTCCGCCCGGCCAGATCGCTGCAGGTGAGCGGTGGTGGAGCAAGCGGTGGAGAAGGCACGGACGGCGGCGCAGACGGCGGGGCTGACGGCGGCGGGAGTGGAGCACAGCCAGACACGAGCTGGCCGCTGCACTTGCTGCTGCCCGAGAGTGGCCCGAAGCAAAGCCGGGCGACGCCCGACGCCGCGTCCTTCCAGGTGAAGAAGGCGGAGCATTCGCCCGCGTATGCCTTCCTGCAACTCTTGTTCGGAAGCTCATTCCGCCCGGCCAGATCGCTGCAGGTGAGCGGCGGCGGTGGTGAGGGCGGTAGCGGTGAGGGTGAGGGGGGTGGCGGTGAAGGTGAAGGTGGCGGCGGGCTGGGCGGTGGCCGCGAGGGCGGCGGTGGCGACGTCGGTGGAGGGCTCGGTGGCGGTGGCGAGGGTG